CCGGCTTACCCTTTTCCCGTCGCGTAGGTGCAGGGCTTCCTGCAACTGCGAGCTCCTGGTCCATAGCTATGATGGAACCAGCAGTAACCCTCGGTTGGGTCATCTGGGGCTTTGGGTGGTTTGCGCGAGGGTGGCTTCTGAGCCTTTGGTTGCTCTTGGCGAACGTGGGCAGGCTGCGCTGCCCGTTCCGACCTAGGCTTAGCCTTATAGGGGTTCGCTGTGGGCACCGGGACTCTATCCTTGAAAGACAAGTGCTGGTGTATGCAATGTGGTCGTGGCTGTGAGGGCTGTACCGCATATTTATTCCTGTTCCCTCTATACGGTTGCGATGTCGTGGCACCGAGGAAATTATCCTCATTACCGACACGTGCAACTATCTTATCAGCAATCGACGCAGCTTTGTCGATTGAGGAATCTTCCAGCAGAGCCGTTACCGTCGGTTGGACGTGACGTGGCAACGACTCGATCCACAGCTCTCTGACAATGTCAGATTGGGCGTTTGCTGGGCCGGCTATCGAGCGTAGACGCGCCAGATACCTGCTTGGCGTCGTGTCACCGATCGGGTGACGAGCCAGTAACTGCCGCAACCTCTCCTCGTTAGAGGGGGTATAGAACTGAAGGATTGCGGCCTTCACAACTTCGTACGCATCCTTTTCCGGTGGTTTAAGGATAATATCCCTAATAGCGGACATTCGGTCGCCAGGGATCGCTTCTACTGCGTAAACGTATTTGGAGCGCTGGCTCCGCACGCTACGGGCGACAAACTGCGTTTCTAACGCTGCAAACTACACTTCGGGGTCATGGGGGATGATGGCTACTGGCTTAAAACTAATAGCCAGTAGGTCCAGCTCCCTATCGTCTACCGGTGGACGTTCATCGGACATTGTGCAAGTGCGATAAAGGAATATATCGTGCAAATGATAATGAACCGTGAGGAGAAAGTGCAAACCCAAATGGAATGGACTTACAGAGTGGACGGTGCGGGCTCATCAATGAAGCTAACCGGAGTTGACGGCCTGCCGGTAAATCTTCTTACGAGTCTCAATATGCGCGCGATCTCCTAGTGTCTCGTTGCCTGAGGTAGACAAAAACACTCGTGGGAGTCGTAAACGTTTACTGGCGAATCGTGGTACTAGATAGTACTGAAACGTGCCAAGGTGACGCTGAACAATGCAAGCAATAAATACAGTATCAAAGCGAAAGCATCCTGATGTATCTTCGCATGCCTGCAGGTTCTCTACCGTTTGTTGGAGGGGTACTCTGACCTCCTAGTTAGGCTGTGACTGATCAGATGGTGCTGCTTCCATCGACAGCAAACCGGATTGGCGTCTCTGCTCCGCGGCCGTACCCCTGCATCACCAAGGACCCATCAACTAACTGTCGAAGCGTTACGAGACAAACGTGGTTCGTAGACGCAAGAACCTGGACCGTTATACTGGTTCAAGCCGCAAGTCCTGGTAACTGTCCTATCCTGTCCCATCCTGTTTAAACCTATCATATCTTGGTTGTTATAGTAACAAACGCTGTAGTTATCTTGGATACCAAATTACACGTTTTGTGAATTACGCTAAAATATCATGTTCAGGAACACTTTTCAGAGCGGATTTTTATCAATCCTACTCAGTGTAGGAAGCAAACCATTGCAAATATGGGATAAAAAGGTAGGTGCATAGGAAAGTTAAGGAAATAAATCCAAAGGTCAGGAACGGTCATATAAAACGAATTACCGACAACGACATCCAGTCATTAGTGATTGAGATCATGGGAACAAATGTGACGTAAGTGTCGGATGATTTTATGATTGTTTTAGGACCACTTTTGTCACCTGTCCGAACGATCCGAAATTGACATTAGGCATAAAACTCCCGTTTCTTGTTATGATTATCAAAAACCTGAAGAAATATTTTACTTTCGAGGTTCAAGTACGCCGTGTGACATTTTGAGTGGCATTTTTCTGCAGATCCTCGATGATAAGAATATTCGAAGGAGGTTCCGGGCAAGTAATTATCAAAGTACTACGCGCGTGAAACCATTTATATGTACTATGCCAATGAGACTGGATGACGGCTGGAATCAGATTCAGTTCAACTTGTGTGATTTCACTAGACGAGCTTATGGAACCAATTATGTTGAAACGCTTCGCGTTCAGGTGAGTTTACTCGTGTAGTTTAAATCTCTAATTTGTCAGGGACGGGAGTCGCCCCCCTCCCTGAAAAAAGAGGAAATGAGGGGGGAGGGGATTCCAGACAGAGGTTAAATACAACAATATCATGGTATTCGAAGTACATAGGAGTCACGATTGAGGTCACTTGAGATCTCACTATAGTATCAATCTATGGGACTATATATAATGGTGCCAATGCCACAGCAACAATAATGCTTGTCTACAAGCCGGTTTTATATATTTAAATGTATATATATATATATATATGGTATACACGACTTGAGTTATAGTACTGCTATAAATAGATAGATTTGCGTTACATGGCTAATAGAACTCATTAAAAATAGATATTTAAAAAATATTCTTCATCCAAATAAAAAGTACCTCACTCATTTCAGTTGAATCATAGTGGGATCGTATCTGAGCTCACAAATGCCTAACCTAAAATTTCAAACCATTATTCATTATCTCGTGTTGAGATGAATAAATGAAGCACCAAAATGAGTTTATTTTCCTCTAAGGCTCAAACAGGACCATATAGTCGTAAAATCTATCTATGGGTCTTACCATTTTACTGGCGAGGTACTTTATAGGAAACTGGTATCCAAGCACAACAAGAGTTATTTTACTAACTGCTTGGTAAATGCTTGTGTCTAGACATTAGATGCATGAGTATCTGTTAGAATAAATAGAAAAGTATCACCATCATTTTTCGAGTTACAGAAGACTCACTGATCGAAAGGAACAAAACTGACTAAATTTATACATCGAACGTACAACCGCGATTATGTAACAAAGACCCATGCGAGAGCTTGGAGAAATGGAAGTTTAGCACATTCAAATATAAAACAATTTTTTTGGGAGTCGCCCCATAGAGGCCTATTTGAATCCTATTTGAGTCTCCTGGGAGTCCCATCAGAGTCCTATTGAAGTCCCATAAAAGTCTCATTGAAGTCCCAATTTGGGGATAGACGGACTACGATGAGACTCTCATGGGACGCGAATAGGACTCAAATGAAACGGCTGTGCGGATTGGAGACATTATTTAAGCAAAACACAACAAACTAGATATTTTCAGAAGGGATTTTGTCGAATCCTCCGATTGTTTTTAAAAATATTCCGATGGGACCCACTTGAAACCCAAACGGAATCTGACGTGAGTTCGAATGAGACTTCATTTAAGCAAATGTTCTGCAACGGGGTTTTCAATACTCGCTACTCTCAATTTTATGTCTTATGATTTAATGAAAGGAGTTTTTAATAGACAGTATATATTATCATTAATACTCGAAGTAATTACTTTTGTGGTAAAACGTATACACAACCTTTGTGCATTTTATTAAAACCTTTGCAGCAGAATTTTGCTAGCAGTTATTGATCGTGGATGTGTTTGGAAATGATGAAGTATTAACTTTCGTAAAATTATTTTTCAGTGAATCTTAAGAACAGGAGTGTGTCTGGTTCTGCTGCAAAACGAATCTTGTAATACTGGTTTGTATTTATACTTCAAAAGTCCTACAATAAAACTTCTTTTTCATATTTGTTTTCAGATTCACGCAAACTGTCGCATCAGGAGAGTATATTTCAGCGACCGACTGTATTCCGAGGACGAATTGCCAGCGGATTTTAAGCTATACCTTCCAGTTCAAAAATCCTCCTAATAAACTGAGTTTGTCGTGTAATGAGAACATTGTTGTGTGAATTGCGGCTGTGAAACTAGAATACATTCTCTTGAAAATTAGCCGGTTGTCATGCTTCTGACCGTTTGCAAATATCAAAACAAACGCACATAAGTTATAAACGCGTAATCTTTCAAGCAAAAATATACAGATGATATGAAATGACGGATGCGGTCTTTTGTTTTAAGCTTCCATGTAGTAACCTGAAGTGTATAAAGAACACGTTTTATTGCTTATTGAAACCAACTCCATTAAAAAAATGGGACAATACATTAAAGTTATTTTAGTTTTTAATAAAAATGAAGACTATTGTGCTGGGATTTGTTTGACATACAGTCTGGCGTCAGGTGTGAAATATAATAACAGAATATTTTATCTGGTAACAGAATTTTCAAATGATCAAAATGCATCATTTGCTCCTTCCTCAAAACAATAGTCAATGATAAATAGAAATTTTAAAAGGCTAAAAACTGGAACCCTTTTTCCAAAAATATTACAAAGCAGTTACCTGCAATGATAAAGCTCGTTAAACGTTCATTTTCGTGAATTCTTAGTTCTTTTATTTTGTCCTCTTGTATTTGTCATTGTTATCAATTCATAAACTTTTGTAAAATGATACTATTGTCACTTTATCTGAAACTAAATTGGTGGATTACTCTTCAATGTGTCAATGCTTATTACCATTCCGTCATGTTGGGACTTCAGTGTGCTGGTTGCATTTGCTGTCTGTGGTGCGTCGATTGATGGAAAACGGACATAGAGAATTAAGTTAACTCCTGAGAGCAGTTATCAACTCAAATTCAAGAGTCACGATTAACTTCATACGAGTAAATGACTTCTGTTTTAGATCATTATCATTTATTCTTTCAGAGATGTTCCAGATACGCATTCAACCAATAGTTACCTGTGATTAGTTGTGTGGGATAAGTTACACTGAGTTCAGTTCACTTCGGTTCTTCCAATCAATAAACATGCACTTACATGCACCGGTTTTGATTATTGATTTGGACTGACAATTCTACATACAGACTTCACATTTATGCAAATTCTCATTTGCTTGGGAAGCGCCAGAATTGAGTTCCAATCTCCTTAGAGCTCATCGGTAGACTTTATTAACCTTCTCGTCAAAGCTTTGCACTCCAAATCTGCTGATATATATATATATCGCACCATGATTTGTTTGGTACAAGAGTCACAACTCAGACTTGTGTAAAACCGTAGATATATTCTGTGAACTTTTAATAATTGTATTTCGCAGCAACCTATACCCGACCGCTGGAGAATAGCCTCTATCACCCCTTCACCTTAAAATCCTTTAATTTTCGTCCCTTCACCTGCACTTCGGTTATTTTGAAGGTATTTGAGAGACTCCTCATTAGGGCCCTTTCCACATAGTTCCATTTTGGTGACCCGAACCAGTTTGCATACACCCATTCCCATGGTACCCTGGATACCCTTGCTTATCTGTCCCACTTTGTTTTATCCAACCTGGATAAGAAAAGCAAGGCTGTACGCATATGTTTTCTTGACTGCAGTGATGCTTTCAACACAATTGATCGACAAAATTTGTTAAATACCCTCTATTCGGGCGGAGTTCAACCTTCTACGATTCTACTCTTGGCCAATTATTTCTCCAACCGTCAGCAGTTTACGTGCTACAAACTTCGTACATCTTCACTGCTGCCCTCCTCAATAAGCGTACTACAAGACGCTATTTTGTCCCCCTTTTTCTGCTTACATTTCCTCAATGCCTGTGAGCAATTCTTCTCTTCTCGTTAAGTACACAGAAGATATAATATTCGGACTGCCTTACCCCAACTCATCACTTCAAACCACTCTACAAGAAGACTTGTCGGAAATAGTTGAGTGGTCTCAAAAAAGGAACCTCCGCATGAACCCCCAAAAATATAATGACGTAAATTTTCCTTTTTGAAAGGGCAAAAGTATGATGAATTGTCAAATTCCAGCCCGCTTTTATCTATCCGCAGTGACCAGATGGATGAACAACTGTCTGTTAAATACCTTGGAGTTATTTTCAAACGTAACCTCAACTGGTCCGACCACATTTATGACGTCTTTCTGAAGGTCAGAAAGCTGACGTTTAATGTTTTTTCGTCTGAAATCACTTTTTATCCTAAACCATCTCACAAAGCGTTTTCCTCTACTGGTTTTATGGGTCCCTTTTATCTTCCTTGGTCTTTTTAACAAGGACCTCAAACTCATTTCCCGATCCCTCAAGTTTCTGTCAGTTTATATTCTCATACCACGGCAACATCTGGTACAGTTTGTGGTGACAAACCACCTCAAATCCTATAAAACATTCTCTAATAAGATTTTATCTGATATTTTCCTTTTATTTAACCCTTAGTCAGTGCTTTTCTCACTCATCCACCCATTCCACACGCGATGAAGCTTACTGGCGCTCTATTGTCCCCTATCTCGCCAGATTTCTAACAAACCATGAACTCGTTGCAGGAAATCTGCGCAGAATGCTAAACTAAATCAATCATAAACTCCCGGGTATACCATTGGTTTCTGATGTTGCTGTTCGTTTTTCCGTCTTTTAATTATTGCATTATAATGTATTTTTTTCACATTTTGTTGACACACTGTGGTTAGGCGATTGCTGAATATCCACCTTTTGAGATATATGAAGCAATTCCTTGACTTCACTTGAATTGTATCTAAAAAGTGCAAAATAACGGTATAGTATCAATTTGGTTTGGCTTTTATTCTCACTACATTAAAAAACAATAGGAAAAGAAATTATTGATAATAAACTAGGTGCACCTATTCTGAAGATGAAGTTTTGATGGGCATATAAAAGGCTCTTTTTGAGGATCGCCAGCTTAATGCACACGATACTCACAGAGAACTTGGTGCATATTGTAGCATTTAGGTATGTGCTACCATACAGTGCACAGTCTTGATGGTTGCTGGGGGAGGATAAAAATAGGATATTTGTATTTAAAACTCACATTCTTTAAGGCTGGAAGAAACATCCGAGAACCAATGCTGAATTAAGTTGAGTGTTAGACGACTAAAGTTACACAACAGCTGGCAAATGCCTCACCCATGTTGCCTATTAGGCTTTTGGAGAGTGAGATGTGAATACTGGCTAGAATAAGGCCACTGTTGATCAAACTATTACCTGTTATGAAGCACCAAGATCCTGAAAAAGGAAATGGATCAAGTAGGTCTCGTAAGATGTCTCCTTTGAGGATCACGTGGCATATCTGATCAATAGTTTGGCTTTCCGAGACTCCAGCCAAAGGTACGGCAGCATGCAGGTAAAGAAAATCAAAGCACAACATTACCTTTTGTAGTTTTTAAATCACGAAATATGCCCATTGATTAAGAACACAGTGTAGGCAAACATATGTTTTCGGTGAATTCCTTTTCAATGCTTTACAATCATGTTTATATGAAACAATTTCGATACGGTCAAACAGAAAACTCTATGAGTCATGTGTTTGGCAACGAGCCCAAGAGAACTTAGGGTGGGTGTGGAGTTGCCCAGCTCGATCGGTACTCAACTGGTAGAGACGGAACACTTCGTTGACATGCACTCGGCATTTACAATCATTTATCGAGTATTACCACACTCCTCGAGAGCAATACGGCTTCGGACGTTAGCAAACGCAGAGGCGATTAGCATCAAACACATAAAATCTGAGCGGTGAGCACAACGCAAATTGATTCAAGCTCTGGAAAATCTGTGGCCCGTGAAAGAGAAAGTTGCTTGTTCATACGACCAAAACGTAACACCATGATGTAACGATTTTATTTATGTGATCCAAACTGCGCACAAATTTTGAGTTCTCTCGGGCTCGTTGCCAAACACACGACTCATACACTTTTCTGTTTGACCGTATTGAAATTTCAAATCTGACTCAGTTACTTGAGAATAGTGGTGTGGGATAATTGGTTTTTATTGATTTGAGCTGACTATCCTTCGGACTTGACCTTCACGCACAATCCTCAGTTTATCGATTCAACCATACACTCGGAAGCACTAGGCTCCAGTTTTGCTCTTATTGGAGCTCATCAGTAGTGCATATCCACCGTCCCGTCCGTGATTTGAACTACGAACCCATCGCATGGAAGGTGTGTGCGTTACCACGATGCCAACCAGCTCATGCCATGGCTGAACCAAATTGCCAATTCATGTTTGCTCAGGTGTCGTCTTTAGTGATAGTCAGTTCATTTTGGCCCGACAGCAACGAAGGGAGACACAGATAATAGAGACAAGTAAGATAAGAGATAAGAGACAGAAGTAACTGAGTCAAATTTGAAATTTCAATCCAGCCTTGCAGAATCGTAGATGAATCAGTCCTTACTAAGATTGTTTCCTATAAAGGCTTGAAACGGAATTCACCGAAACTATATCTTCGCCTACACTGTGTTCTTAATAACTTTTTTGTAAACAGAACACCGAAACTTGATACCATGAACCATTAGCAATCTCATAAGCCAGCACAACTCTGTTGGAGCTTAGGTAAGTTTGTCATAGAGCTCATCCTCTCGTGCGTCAGTGAATATGGAGAGATGATGAAGAGAAAAATGTGGTGTTGGTTCACTTCAGAACATTGATTGTGCCATGGAGCTGCATCAAACACAAGCGATTGCGGAAGGGGATAATGTTGAAATTTTAGGTTGCATTTTGTCATTGATTAAAAATGTCTCTTTACTTCATTTTTAATTATTGAATGTACAAATGTGCAGTCAACTTTCAGGAAGGGAGCTGCGGTCATACAAAGGCTGCCTGGGGAACATACAGAAATAGGGGAGACGGGCGGTGGTGACCAACCACTTGGCTACCACCGCCAATGCATACTCCGCAGTGGCGAACTTTAGGGGCATTTCAATCTCCTGAAAGGCGTCAAAAGTATCACAGTGACAGATATGTGGCATTTAAATCGTACATTTTTGCACGAATTCTGAATTTGTGTTGTCGATATCCAGTAGACTGAATAACAAAGAGTCCGTTGTACGCAATATAAACGTGTGTTTCCCCCTCAGAATGAACGTTCACACATCAAAATCCACAAGATTCATACGGTAACTGAACTTCAGAACCTGTGATTTTTATGGTGGTGTACTACGTATAACGCTACTTTGCAATTAAATTCGATGAGCAAGGGAATTTTAAAAGTATAAAAAGGAAAAGGATTCGGTCATTCTCAGTTTCAGTTTGTACAACTATTAACCGTGCACCTTTGTGTGGCTGTTTTGGTTGCTGTCTTTTAGCTGTCCATTCAAATGTAGGAGAAAGACAGAAAGGTTAAAAGTATAATCGAAGTGAAAATTGAGGATTTCAGTGAACTATTGTTGAAATGTGAGTGTGGTTTTGATTACCTTGAGTGACATTCAATGCAGTATGGAATTCTCTGTAGCTTACGTAATAACTAGAGTTTGGTATACGGGTTTTGTAGGGGAGTCAACGAACTTAACACGAGAGCAATTAGAGTTCTCAACCAGGGCCTTTAGTTATGAAAAGATTGAGCGTAAAGCAATGCGAACTTCAAAATAATTGGATCGATGATTTCTTCATTTTTAACCAACTGGTGCCACCTCAAGTCAAACTCCAAACTCGAGCACGAAGAGACCGGACATTTTGTGACTTCTCCTTTCTGACTGTTCAGAAATGATAAGGTCTTTTGTCTTGATGAAGCCGTCCAGTGTAACTTGATTCGAAGGGTCACACAATCCCCGTGATCATTTATTAACATTATTCTTTGAAGATAACAATTAGGCTACTGTTAATTTATTAGTAGTAAACTAATACCACAGTTTCATTCCATGTATTGCATAGAAAACCACGAAATTGG